TTATGCTACAGTCTGGGGTAAACTAATACTTTTACTAAAAATAGACTCTACCGTATTTAAAAGTAAGCTCTACAAATACAGCTTTTTTATTAAATTTAAATCATGTATGATTGCTATATCAAATGTTCTAAACTAAAAATAATTACTGTATTTAGAAGTATATCGTTCAATATGCATTTATTCAATAAGAAATTTATTAGACTCCACCAAACAGCTTTCCTTCAGGGATCACATTTTCCCCAATTTTTACTGCGATATTGAATAATTTTATTGAGAATAGCAACATGAACATATACTAAATTAGGATAGATTTCATTTTACTCATTTACACAACTATTACTTAGACCTAATTGTATTAAAGACCTCCCAAAGCAGCTTATTTGAGTTTGTTGCCAGTAATTTATGAAGCTTAAGTTTGTTAGTTGTATTTTTATGCATTTTTGTTCCAGATGGAATGAATTCCTATTTATGTTAGAGTTAATATAAATGTATGTTCATAATCATCCTAATAATTTAATTAGACCAACAGAAACAGAAGCTATTCAATTTGCTGGCACTGTTTCCTAAATTATGGCGGATACCAGTTGACATCATCGCTACAGTATGGGAATCTGATACGGTCTATACAGTTTCTTTGTTGAAAGAATTTAGCCATTACGGATTATTGCAATCTGATGAAGACGATAGGTATGTAAATTCTAAATTATCTTCCGAGGCTATGAACTATATTACTTACAGCCTGACGGAAATTTAATTTAAGTAATGAAGTTAATCTACCAATTAAGTCTAAATTTTGCCGTGTAGGAAGTGTAGAAATTGCTTTATTTAATATTCAATTACACCCAAAAAATTAGCATGTGATAGCTATCTTTAGACATATTCCGTAGCTAGGGCTTCGTATCAGACTCGACGAAGACATTACCGGAATACTACCGTAATTCCATCTGAAATTTTAAAATTTGCGTTAAAATTACATGTATTTCCATTAATTCACGACGATTACCTGAAGTAAGGTATTCGTTCATATATAGCTCTAGAGCAGAGTATAGTTAATAGTTTCACAAAGGTTATGATATACTCGTATCAACCTGCAATAGTGTATATGTAATATATATATGCCTTGGAATACCAATTGTCTGGTATTTCAAGTAACAATAGTAAAGGGTAGAAATCACTCTCTCAATCCTTATTGCAAGTTAGGGCTATTCCTAATTCGTAACAGATAGGAATTCGGTTACTTCATACAATACTTCAGGCAAACGTCTTCTCGAATTCAAATTGCTATCTTAATTTCAAAACGAATTACTTCATAATATTATTGTAATATTACAAGCTAATATTTTAAAGTTTAAGCTTCTTAAGTATGAAATCTATATAGTACTATTGTATGTTAGAGGTCCAATACCTCCTACCCGTTAAGTATACGGCTCTAAATAGAGTATATACTTTGACCGGTTTACAAGTTAAAGCAGGGGGTTATGATATGATAACTTAAAAAAGAGTACAGGATAGGGATTTGGCAACTTCATATAGTACTTTAATTAAACATTTTCTCGAATTTAAGTTGCCATTTTAATAACATATAGAATAATAACATATAGAATTATTTGTAACTTTGTTACTCTATAAGGTCAGGCTTTAAAGTATAATAAATCATAGCTGCACAAGGTTATGATATGTAAAAAAATAGAAGATTAACTGATCTAAACGAAGATCTTCAATATAAAGTCACAGTATTGACTTTTTAATTTTATCAAGATTTTAAGTGTCGTAATAATAATATGATGACCGGAATCACATTTGTACTAAATATAATCTTCAAGTCTGTAATATTTTTGGTTCCTTATAAGGGGTGTTGGGTAAAGTTCCGCGATTAAATCCTATCATAGCAAGACAGCAGTGAGAAAAATTTTAATGGCAAGCATAGAATGAGATAATATTTATTATTTTTCTTATTCAAATATGACGTAAAACTCCCAATTTACGATTTCTTTCAATAGTTATAGTTGTTCTACGAGTAAACAACATTAGTAATATTTCATATGCTATATCTTAATTAACACAAGTATAAGCATAATCCATCAAAAGCAGTAATCTAACCATTACTGTTAGAAATACGATGACTATATATCATTAAGTCGATAAGGTGTGCCAAGAATATACAAAATAAATTAGTATATACGCGCATAACTACATCACTAATTTGGCTCAAATTTAAACTACTGCAAAAAAGAAAGCTTTATAAGATTATAAACATCCAATGCAGAGATATTGTATGGGACCTCCTTCAACCTGTATACATAGACCTATCCTCTGTTTAAAATTGGTAAAAGCTTTTGCAATCTTTCGCTTGGTAGATTTTTGCATATGTCATCGACACAAATCTCTAGGTAATTCATAGATTGATATGATATTTAGTTAGTCTGTGTGATGGAGGGTTCGATATCTCAGAGGATTGAGATTTAGTCGCCATTTACAATTATTACAACAAAGGGTTTATAAAAGTTATGCTTTATTGTAGGTTAGTAATGTGAAGTACAGTGAGGTAGTTACGGTAGATCAGCGTGCAAGCTGTCGTGAGTAACGAGTAGAAGTATTAGACTGTGAGAGACTAACTAGAAGACTAACTGAGAGGCTAATGAACTCTGAGGTAGAAATCGCCGGTATTTATAGTTTTAAAGATAGAGCACATGCAGAGAATAGGATTGTGGAATTAGATACAACATATACCATAACAGATTACAAAATAGCAGATGATTGTAGAAAACAGCGAGTACCGTAATAACTAAATACAGTAGGCTATATATGAATGTAGAGTAAGCGGACTGTAGTTCTGTCTAAATATAAGCGCAATACAACATGTCTATATTTAAGAGTAGAATATAGTTACAGTATATTCTAAATACACTACAGTCTGGTTTTGATTGTATCCCCATAAGAAAAAATCACAAGAGTTTAAATCGGGTGATTTAGCTGGCCAAGTAATTGGCCTCTGCAAACCAATCTAGCTATTAGGAAAGCTATCATTTAAAAGTTCTTTAATTGCAGTAGCTTGATGTGACAAAGCATCGTCTTGATGAAATATTCCGGTTTCAAGTTGCTTTAGCCCCTAGCATTGAAATCATCATACTTTTTAACAAAGAAAAATAGTTTTCTTCATTAATTAAGCCGCAGAAATAAAATGGGCCAATAAGTCCATGTTTCGTCAATCCACACCAAACATGTAACTTTTCCGTTTTCTCTACTAATGGATTGTAATGTGATGGTTTCTCTAATCCTAAAACTCTGCAATTATGCTTACGGATAAAGGATGAAGTATAAATGATAGCTTCACCAGAAAAGATGATATTATTTAGGAAAGTAGAATCGCCAGCAGCTAATCCGTAAAGATCAACACTTGCAGATTTTCTAGCTTTGCATTCTTCATTTGAAAATGGTGAGTACATATGCAAACTGTAGGATGCGCTGTTCAAGTTTTTTATTATGTAATGGACGATAGGCCTTGGAATATCTGATAGCGAAGTAAAAGATTGACTTAAATTTTAAGATCATAGTGCAACATATTTTTCTCACACCTTAATCGATTTCATATCTATATATGATTGCAATAGTTACTACAAACTTATGCTAAGCATATGACTGCCAATATTCCTTAATTATTATCATCAATCATTCCGAATTATTAATGAAAGTCTAGCGATCTAACGGATATTCAAATAATCAAACTTGTCACGAAATATAACATACCTAGTTCAAGAGACAATACTCTAACGGTTACAATAGGGTGAAATTCCAAATACTTTTTGAATCTCTAACATCTTTTCAGTTCGCAATTTTTTTTAATAATAGGCGCAGAGTCGACAATACTTCCAGTACTTTCAAATTTTTTAACGGTAAAGCAGATAATCCCAATTGGTATTTTTTTTTACATATGGGTATAACTTCAACAATTCGGAGCGTGCCCATTTTATATCACAGTCTTACTTAAAGTACAACATGACCATTTTTACTTTTTATGGTTCGCTGAATCGTGAAGACATGAGGAATAAATATGCCAAATAGTAACTCATCAAAATAGATAGATAAATTGAAACGTAATGTCTTTAAAACCCTAATTTGTAGATAAAAATTGCAGTACTTTGTACCGTAAGTAAGGTATTTAGATGGAGTATGGGCATAAAAACATCTTTTCATATCACGGATTCTAAGTTTTGCGAAATGGCAATAGATAAAAAATCAAATTAGGGGCATAAATAATTATCGCCAATATGCATTGTGGGTCAAGAGCTTTTAAGATGATTGATTAATTGCTTTAGCTGAAAATGGGTTAAGCATTTACGTTGTAATGGATCTATACTTAGATAAATTTGGTGCCTAAGATTTGTGGCCGACTTGTAATTGCGAATATTTGCCCTTTATTAACCACTTTTTTAGTTTTACTTGTAAAAATAGCGGTTATTGTATTAGCCGATAAAAGTAAAAGTAGCTTTTGATAATACTTCTCTTTCAGAAGCTTTAATAATTATCTTTACCACTCTTATTTCGCAATTAAAATCATAAATAATCAAAATTACTTTGATAAAAGAAACACATTAAAAATACTTATGTCGATCATTTAATGTTGAGGAACGATACCAATATTTGTCAATATAATAGCAAATAATTGCAGATTTTTTAAAGAAAAAATTGGTACTTAACTAAAATGAAGAAACGATTACAGCCTTGAAATAGGCTGTAAAGAATTTGAATTGAAACGTCAATAAATTAACAGCGAGTAAAAATCTTTGGATTTAATTTAAATTGGCAAGAAAGTAGAATAGCATATATGGTCTTCATAAATTGAAAATTACTCAAACTTAGGCAATATTTCTAGTTCATGAAATTGAATTGGCTACTATTTGTGTAACAAGCAAGCAGTATAATCTTCATATTTATTATTTGCGTTCTGAATACTGAATTTCAGCATTGAAAGGATCTGCTTTACTATAAAAGAAAATGCTATGACTTATTTTCAAGACTTGCCGTGGTCAAAACGAAAGGCATTAAATCAGCTATTGATTCGATATTATATGAGGCTTTATAATACAAAATATCCAGACACTAGCCAATGCAACATATACTTTTATAAAAATTTTATCAAACATGCTATTCAAGCTGAAGACTATCAATCTATAGAAACGATCTTATTGGATTTTAATTGGATAACTGCGAAACTAAGGCAGATAAAAAATTTGCATGATCTAAGAATCGATTTGCAAGAATATATTGGATATCTGGAATCGAAGAAAGTAAACAACGAGAAGCTTGAGGAGGTAATAAAGTTAATGTTATCGAGGTTTTTAAAGTAATTCGGTTTACTATATTTTATCTTAAAGCAAAATTCCATTAGTATAAATATATACGGTAGTAATGCTACTTTATCGAGGAATTTAACCCAATATAGCTGAAATTATTGGTATAACTTTTAACTAGCGTAGACTCGGAATGGTATTTCCGTGGGCATATATTGGCAGTCTCTTCAAGTTAGCTTGGTTGCACATTTAGGAACTAATCTAGTGTAATTACTAATAATGAAAAGCATAAATATTGTAGCTCTGAAATGAATAGTAATACTACTTTATTGAGAAATTTATCCTAATTTAGCCTAAAGTATTGGTATAAGTTTTAACTTAGGTAAACTCAAAAGGGTAGTTCCCTGTAGATGTGTATTAGTAGTCTCTTCAAGTTAGTCTACTTCAGATCTAACATAATCGCGGAAGATGGAAAGCAATTAAATGGTGCATGCTCTAATTCATATTTCCTCTAAATTTTTGAACGTTAGCCTAGATGCAGTTGTAATCTCTTTATAACTTTTCTATAGAGATGCGATAAAATGAAACACCTGCTGGATTTGTATTTACGAAACGAATCTTTTTTGGATATTGATAAAATGGATTTCGTGCAGTTCCTATTAATTAGCGCTAAACCAAATAGCTGGATTATGCAAAGAGCACTAGTGATTGCTGAAAAAAATACCAAATGTGGTCTTGGCCCGTACTGGAAAATATCAAGGTAAAAGTACTGTGCTTTGAAATTTCTGTTTTAACTGCAATCAATCTCTAAGCTGTTATTCCTCTTCTGAATGAACGAATACTCTGTATTTTATTATTTACTATTTTAGCCATCAAAGTGCCAATATTCCAACGTGGATTGAGTCAAGAACCATGGTAAGCCATTCTGGAAGCTTATTACCAAGTTGTTCTAGTTCACGTAGCGAACATCTACTACTAGCATTTGGTTGTAATAAAGAAGATATACCGAATCAGAGGGTCCATGTAAGTTTTTCAGCGTAATTTCAACGTATAGGCAAGTTTTTGTTCGAAAATAACAAACTGTTAGCGACGGTATAAAAACACTTCTTAGATGTCGTTGCCAGACAAAAACTATTTTGAATTAATACTATAAGCGTGCTGTACCACAGGTTAAGAATTATGAGTCATCCAGAAAAGTTATTAACTGTAAGATCGAAAATCAACATACCCAAGTTACTGATATTAAGATTTCCTCTGATGGGAAATTTCTAGCCTTCTCCTTTGAAGAGATCAAGGGCGGTAAAAAAGTAAGTAGTAAATTCTCTAAAGTTCTTCATAAATGATTATAGATGTGGTATTCTTATTATAAGGCTTTACGCAGTGAAATGTAAGCAAATATTTTATAAAGTTTATGGACTGAATAAGTATATTTCTAGTACTCGTATATTAATTTAAGGAAATTTATTCTGTACAGCAAATATATGTGATCTAAATAGCAAAGAAAATAAAACCTTTAATACTTACTAATAGTGAAAAACGAAATAGGATAGATTAATAGCTTCCTGGATAAATTATATTTTTAGTAACAACGTTATTTCGATTTTTATAAGGCTAAACCAGCCATTGAATGGATAGTATATAACCTAATTATGGAAGAAAAACTTCGATTTGTTAACAGTAAAAGCCGTAAACTCTCTAAAACAAATTTCTCCAATCTGGAATTCTCATCTGATATTACCAATCGCCCATTTCTGCTAACAATTTCTAACAGAAGGAAGGAGGCTGATGTGAGTGCTAATATACCACGAACGCCTACATTTTTATTACAGAACTCTGATACTTTACTAAGAGATATCTTTAATAATTGCATATAGTTATATTTTTCATTAAGTACCATAAGTACTATCTGTAATATCAATAATTTATGGTCTACATATTTCTACTAAAATATTTCTAGTACATATACAGCAAAGTCAAATACTTTTAAAAGCCACAGAAGCACCTTATATTTAGTCTAGGTTAAGCATCTTTATGCTAGAATTGAACTAGACTAATAGAGTCTCAGTTATTTTCATAGCTAGAATTTAATTCAAAGTTGTTTTACATTCCAGCATGCTATAATTTTAATAACAAATACCTACCTACAAATATTTAGCTAAATCTTTAAATTAGTACCTTAAGTACTATGTATAAAATCGATAGTTTAAGGTCAGTATATCACCTACGGGAATATTCCTAGAATATGTAGGTCAAATACTTATAAAGAACTTCAAAAGCAGTTTCGTATTTATTCTAGGTTACTGTATCTTTAGGCTAAAATTAAACAAGAGCATTAATTAATAGAGTTTCATTTCTTTATACTAGATTCTAATTTTTATCACTTTCTAATTTTATAGATCTGGAAAATTACCGAAAACGAAATTCAATCTACCAATAAATCAATGTCATGTGAAGACGAGATTGAATATTGTAAATTTTTCGGAAGCAGCGACAATATTCTTGTCTGTCAGCGAAATTATGATCGATTAAAGTTTAATAAAAATGAGGACGGTAACTGGATTAATCGTCTTTTAAGTTGGATGAAATTAAATTCAAGGCTGCCTGAATGTCGTATAGAAGTAATCTAACTCTGTAAAAAAGTATACATAATAAAAATTGCCTAGTTTAAGGGTGTAAAAATTATCATGATCATTTTCTTAACAGGTTTGGCAACTGGAAAACTGGCATTGCCATCGGCTTTGGGATGTTCCTGCATTAATTCAACGCTTCGATGACAACAAATACAGATGTACTCGATATGTTGATTCTAGTTCTTACCTCTATCATGTGGAATATATTAACGGTGAAATTCCAGTCTTATTAATGGCTTATAGCGACGTCATTGGATTTTTAGACATCGAAGGACAAAACGGAGATACTATAATCATCGACATGACAGAGCAATTTGAAGATGTGTTTCAACCAATTTATTGTACAGCAAAAGCAATTGATGATATGATCATAACAGATGATTACCAATATTTAGCTATACATAAGGGACATAATATCGACATTCTAGTAAGCCTATAGCTTCCTTTTGACAGCATTGCTAGTATATTTCATGAAGTTACTTTATTAATCCTTCTGGAAGAACGTGAAGTAGGTTTCATGTTGTACAGATATGCTGATCCTTTTTTGCTTTTCAAATGTTAGAAACTTGATATCGCTTCGAGGTGTTGTAGTTCCTTTACAACTATTAATTTTGTACAGGAAGTGCATCATCTCATGTCTATGCCTCAAAGTCATCATTTTTTTATCGTTAATCAAACTAAAACTCAATCTCTGTTTCGTTATGACTTAGAAGGTAATCTATTATACGTACAAGTTACTTTATTTTAATTTTATTAATTGAGCAAGCTATGATGAATTTCAAAACTGAATAAAGGTGTATGATATCGTACTGTATTAGACAAAAAATTGAACTGGATAGTTCCACAAAACAAAGTGATCGTTGGCGATAGACTGGCTATGAAAAATAGTTCCAATATTGAATTACTTGATTCTAGCTGTTGCTATATTTTTGATGTTCCGCATGTCACAAAATTATATGGAGACAAGAAGAACAAGAAATTGAAATTAGAGGTATAGCATCAAGCCAATTTTAGATCAGTTGCAATTTTATGAGCATGAGATAGATGATTAATTATGTAGTTTGTAGATTTCATTCTCTACTGTCATTCTATGCTTAAATTTCTCTTTTTTGACTAAGCTCTCTTTATCCATAGATTTATCAGGGAAAAAACTTGGAACTCATATCTTGTAGCTACTTAGAGCAGCCATACCATGCAAAATGGTCATATAAGTGCTATATGTTTGATGATCTGCAGCTTATCGTGGTCATTCAGTGGCATGCATGCAATCAATTAGATTGTTTGCCCAATTTGGCTGAGTTACATCATCATTTCGCAATTATTCAGGTTAACTAAAATAAGCTTAGCATAAATTGTATTCAAGCTATGTCAGATATTGGTGCTTCTAACGACTGTGCCATCTTCAGTTTAAAATTTGTTAAAATTATCAAAATATAGACTTAATATACTTCACGTGAAATTTATTTCTAGTTTCTAATAATACTCTTACATGAGTATGTATTATATACTGGTAAAGACAGATTAATAATAAGATATTAACAGTTGGCGAATGCTTAAATTTTATTCAAAGCAATAATAATTTGAATTATTCTTCGTAAGTACACAGCATGATTATTTAAGCTACTGATCCCTAAATTATGCCTGATCATTACAAAATAATGAGGTGTTCATAATTAAAGTATGATTTGATAATTCACGTTATAACTATTCTTAAATCGTTTTCACTAGTTGTGTCATTTAAAAGGGATGCCAGATGTAGTAAGAAAAATGCAACAAATTTTAAGTCATAAAGGAACTGCAGCTAATACGAGAATTGAATCAGCAAGATACCGAAAGTCTGACCATAAGTTAATATTTATTTTAACCATCACGGTAATAATGCCATTAATAACCTGATAGATGCAGTAGATAGAATGGAATGTTGAGTTTTACTCTCTCCAAATTGTAACAGAATCCTTTTGAAAAATTATATTTCGTGTAATTTCTATAAATTGATGAAGGTTTAAGAGGTCTATTGTGCTGTATATATATTTACGTACGTGGATATTTATCAAATTTAAGATAAACTTTGCCTAATTTTAAAGGACCAAGACGATCACATCAATCAATTTGCCGTCATCATTCTAAAATGTGTCGATCAAGACGAAATGCCATACTGTTTCGAAGAACCGACATATTATGAAGATATGAAAATTTTATTTAGTAATATTCATAACCTAGTTATGTACCAGCGTATAAGTAGTTTTAAGCATGTAATTCAGGTAATTTTTTTGTATTTGTTGTCATGTATACTTTTTAAAATGATAAATTAATTTCTTCATAAATAAATTAGCAAACTCTTGATACTGTTGTACAATCTGATTATTCAACAAATTTCTTTCTCTTTGATCGTCAAAAACTTCAATTTCAGTGGTATAAGATTCAAGATAATTTGATTAAGTTCAAACTATTCAAATTATCTTCTGACGGTATCAATATCTGGACTAAAGAATCTATATGCAAGATTGTGCTACCTACAGACGAATTGAGTGATGATTGTCACGTTTTATTTTGCAAATGGGATGCAAGCACCTTCATCAAGATATTCGGAGATGAGCTCGCTGAAAAGTTGGTACGTAGTCATATTTAAATGATATTGTAGTATCCTTTTCTTAAAAGCAATAAGTACTTGAATTTTTAATAACTTTCCAGGAAGGATGCGACGATAAATGGAAGGAGTGTGTTGTAATTGAAAAAGGAGTGGATATTAGGGTAAAATATTACGACTTTGTACTAAATTTGACGAATCGATATTAAATTACTAAAAACGTTTCTACTAGATGATCGATATAAGAAGAAAGAAGTTGTTACTACGTGGATTCAAGAATACTTTAGAAGGCTATAACCAACAGTTGCTACTACTAAGTGGCTGTTATATTTGGCCGAAGAATTATTTGACAGTCGTTGATAGCAAAAGCTGTCAGGTATTAATTTACGATATCATGACGTCTCGATTGCTGCAGGTCCTTCAAAGTGCTCAAATAGATTATTTATTTATGAAGGGAAATGATGAACAATCTATGTTCATTTGCAAAGGAAATTATCACCAATATTCCATAATTCAGACCATTAGTTAAAGTTACATGATACTGTAATTTAATTTATAGTTCACTGAAATAGCATCCTATTGTAGACCATGTTAAGGTTTAGTAACTTTGACGAATTAAAACTTATAATTATTATACTGTTATACTTACGTAGAATAGCTTATAAATAGCAGCTATAGGGATTAATTGTCATAGATCCTCATTAATCATATTATTGATGTGCAATTCTTATATTATCCTTGTAGAGCAAGTAATTTTTCAATATAAGAATTAGCTGATCATCATTTCAACTTAATTTAATCCTATATAAAAAGTCGGATCTTGTAAAAATGTTTAATAAATAACCTGTTATAAACGAAATATGGGTTACTGATGATCATAGGAATGGATATTTCATATACGTTTTAAATAATCTATTAGTCTAGTAGCAAGATGAGAATGAGATATGATAGATGATGCGTAAGTGCAGTTTAGACAGCAAATTATATAATTAAACACTCTTACTGAGGTTAGTTTTCAACTTTTCTCAGCTTAGATTTAATTTACAATAACAGCAAATTGTATTACAGATGGAAATCAAGCAGAAACGTAGGACCATATTTTAGCTCATATACTTTAAGTGATTTCAATTTGTGGGCAAAGATAAGAGCACCAAATAATGTAATGGAGGAAACATGCTTCAGAGTAAGAGTTTATACTGCTCAATTCCCTAACGTAAGGACGAACAAATAATGTTCGGATAATGTATTAGCGAACACTTTACCAATATTATCGTTAATTAGTCTAGAACTTAATAGTTGTAGAATAGCTAGATGAATAACGATAAGTGTATCTGTTTGCCAATGCTTCAAGTCCAAAATTTAAAATCAAAGTAGTTCCTTGGAAGAATGTAGTAAATGAAAATGTTGTACTCATCACGTGAACATAAAACCACTAATTAGGTATAGGCTGTAATAAGTATTAAAATTTAGAGAATCTGCTTCATTGAACTATAATAATTTTACACCGAATGGATGATTCATTAAGTTAGTAGCATGAAATGATTAGAAATGAGCAAAATGAAATTTGTTCAAATTTATTGGTTAGAAAGCCAGGACAGAATTTTTGTAAATGTGCTGCACACAAGGTAGATTAAAGAAGCTCTGTACTCAGATATCTGCTCATTGGAGTTCGTGGCTGGTGGTAAATATTTTCAACATATAACTATCCATAAATTGATCCTACTCATGCAGATTTATTATTTGTACAAAGTCCACATGTAAAGTCTTTACCAAATCAGGAAATCACTACGGTAGTAAGCATGGTCATGGATGTGTTATTGTCCCAATAAAATTCTCCTAGTGGTACAAATACTAAATGGCAGCATTTATTTAAGAAATGCGTTATGCACGAGTATAGAAGTCTTGCATATGATATTTAATTTAAGTAATAATATTCTAGTTTGATAATATCTTAATGAAAAAATATTTTGCATCGTAATTGATCAGAGATTGTGTATGATTAATAATTTTAAGACAAAACATTTCAAAAATAAAAGACTACAGTAATATCGTATAAAAAGCCTATAGATAAATTTATGATTTACAGATAACATTTCGAACATGTTAGTATTGAACAAGGTACATTTCAAGTGAAGACTTTTAAGATTGAATTTTCTTTTCTAATTGCAAAGTATCCAAAATTCTGTTTGCTTCTCTCTGGCCGCTAAGGTATGCACCATGAGCAGTTGAATAATAGCTTCTATCTGTTGCTTCGCCGGCAAATAATATTAAAGGTCGACCTTGATAATCTAATATAGGCTCAGCTAACACGTCAATATCTTTCCCACAAGCGTTCGTATTTACGTAGGAGTAAGAACCACGAACATAAGGATCTTCGTGCCATTTTGTTCTTATAACGATATCAGGTTCTTGAATGGTTTTGTCCACTATGAATTTCTTTAGAACGCGAGTCAAGTAACTGGATAATTGCTTTTCACTCAATTTTTCTACACGAATAGCGTCCTCACCAACAAACCAAAATAGCAAAGCATTTGGACATGGCAATATGATATGTGCACTACTTACATGTTTTAGCCATAATTCATCATCTTCAAGCGGCAACTTACAACCACAATTTTTGTCATCGATTTCATCATTCCAAAGAAATACCAATCTACGGAATTGATTTTTGGGCCAGAACGGCTTCTCGTAGTAGAAAATTACTTTATTTACCACACCAAAGGCTAGCCTATCAATTACGTCTAATTTTTTAGCCGGTAGGTTAGGTTGAAATAAAACTTTGGCCTGATTTTTTAATATACCAAGTGATACAGTGCAAATTACTATATCCGCCTTGTATACATTACCGTCGGAACATTCGACTACGACAGGCGCTTCCGTAGTATGATCGTTACCATTTAGTTCATTATTATCACTACTCTTGATCTTTACAACCATTTGATTAAGTCGAATTACTTCTTTGGGAATACGATCAATAATAGTCTGCAATACTTTGTCATACCCACCTATCACCGCCAGATCGCCTCCTTCCAACTCAAGGTATTCGCCAAAGTCTCGAAGATGAACATCGTGAAGGGTGCTGCAACCGGATGTATGACTTTCTTCCCTATCTCGATAACGAAATACTTTAGCACTGACTGCTCTCGCAAAGTTGTCTTGGATATCATCCAAGTACTTTTTTAACTCAACATCCAAGAATTGACCGACATTCTGAATATGTTCTGGAACATCATCTAATTGACGATCATAGATCCTCTCCAATATAGATGAAAAATAATCATTTGCCGAATCACCAACAGATTGCTCAGCGATAGTTTCGTTCTCGGTATAAAAGCGATCGTTATATGATGATTTTCGAGTCGCAATATCGCTTTTAGCAGCAATATCATATAATGGATTACCAACTTTGCCATGAAACCATTGAGCTCCTAGTTCAATGGGACTGTTATCTTGCAATCTTCTGGTAAAGATTCTACCACCAACTCGATTATTGGCTTCCAGAATGGTTACCCTAACTTTCTCCTTACAAGTAGATAATAACTCTGCGGCAGCTAAGCCAGCTAAACCAGATCCAATAATGACTACATGAGGACAATTCTCATCCATCAGCAAATTCCGTATACTCTATATGTAAGATAGAATTAACAGTTATCAGATTTATGAACATTTATTAATAAGCTCCATCATTAATAATAAAAAATGATTAGCTAAAGCTTGCTACAAATCACAGTAACAGCCATTGACAAATATTAATAAATACTGTAGAATAGCTACGTAATAACTTGCATTCATTATTAATTAAGGCTTTAAATAGGTGTATAAGACAGGTCCTATGCGGCAATTTCTAATATTACGTACAAATAACAAGTATTTAATATATAAATGGTACCATGAAATGTGGTATTCAAAGGACGAGGATGGGTGTATTTGTACTTAATACTTAAAACATTTCCTTAGTCCAGACCAATTTTCTTACGTTTGAATGATTGATCGCATTATTAGTAGTGCAACGATTAAAAGCATTTATCGTTCTAGTTATCATTGCAGCAACTTTGATGTATATGGATGGTAATCCCTCAAGAGTAAAATGACATACAAAGTGTAAATTGTGATGTATAACTGTATAAGATTATTTTACCGTGACTTTAGTATTTGATGAAGCTAAATAATGTTTGCAAATTCTGTTCGGCCACACAATTGTTGGGTAGTGATTCTAGAATTTGACATTATATTCTATAATCAAGTCTCGATACGAGTATTCTCTATTCTATAGGCATTTCGTCTGTTGTAATAGGAAGTATAATGTTGTGCGTATGTTTAGGAACTCTATGCTTTCTTCTATCTTTGGTTTGTTCGATGTTGTTTTGCGTACGTAATGTATTTAGATTTGACCGTTCTGTTACGTCGCGAAATAATTTGTGGTTTATTTCGTTAACTTGAGAGGCAACATTCTTAGGTTGGATAGCATAGTAATTAAATACGTGTGATGGAAATATGCGTACGTGGGATTGATGTACAATGCATTTATTAACCATATACGTGCCCATGTAGCATATGTATATCTAATCATCCTACAGAGAAATATCACCTAACATTATCTATAGTAGTCGCGAATAATCATTAAAACAAGTGTATCGTTACACTAATACACTAAGTCCGAACCGCAGCGTAATGTCATGTCAAATAATTATAATTATAGTAGCTAAGTTATAAGTTATAATAATCAAAGATTACAAATTATCAACATGTTTTGTTATCAAAATCCTTGTCTGTGTCGTATCTAGGAATTTAGTAAACTTCAATATCTGTATAGTACGACACTGCTAAGTTACAAAACGATCCATTACTATTACAGCTAGAATCTTATAAAAGGGAAAGTTTTAAGACCTCTTCGGCATTACTTCTTACGATCATTCAGTTACTCTGCTAATTTATGTACAGTATAACCTTCAATAAAGTCAATGAACTAGTAGCAAAATGAAAGCTGCAGTTTATGAAAAGTATCACTAGTCAACCTCAAGATCCACCACAATAGTCCGAGTTAGCAGACTATCGGTAAAAATTACTGGAAGGTCAAATATAATTTTTACAAACCGGTAATAAATCTCAACTTTGTTTTTCGTTGATATCTTGCTAATGGATATATTGTAGCATTTTTCAACGTGATTTCAGCTGATTTTAGCAATATTGATGGCTCACTATATAAAAGGAACTTCCCATTTTGATCGTCTAATTCAAGTTTAATTAAGATAATATCGTAAAAGTGCTCGATTGCTGCTAACAGTAATGAGCCGACAATTTGCGAGATAGAGAGTTTAGCTCGTGATGGTACGGTATACGTCAACATAACAGCAGAAGTTCTAAAAACTGTCCTCATTGGGAACAAGATATTGTTTATCTAATCGGTCTTTATTTATCCTTGCTAATGTACTTCAACAGCCGGGTCTATTGCAGCATACTCCTTTTCCAGTCCAGTATCACCTGTTGGCTACTGCGACATGCTTACCATTAATAAATAACTGAGTAACTATGCATGATGTAAGGAATACCGTGCAATGATTTCTTGACGTTTATTGATGCTTCTACATTATATTATAAAGTATGGGCGAAAGGACTTTTTTTAAGCACTAGATAACTTCTAGTTCAATAACAGCAATAACAGAAATATCATACTATTTGAAACCGCAAATGATACTACATTATCCTAGCTATTAATGCGATACGCTATTGACAACTCTATGCTACGCAGTTGTAAAGCAATAGCTAATGATGAACATGTTGATTCTAGCTACAGTAATTTTTCTCTTCTTCCGTCTTGACTACATTGTCTCTTTTTACCCGCTAAAAGTATTCGAAAACAGGATTCCTTATCTATTATGATACCATAGATAGATGATGACTTGATTAACCAAACTTTCTTTTCCTAATTTCATTTACAGTATATCTCATTAAAAAGGAATTATTTGGATATCACGTTCAAGTAACGACATATAACAGGGAATTCCAGGATCACTAGTAGAGCTTATTTTGCTATCAAGACATATTGGATATTAAAATGATCGAAACACTATGCATTGCATTCTATCGATCAAATTGGTCATGTTCCTCATGCTATAGGACGTCAAGGAATTCATTCACTATCAATATCTTATCGTAGTTGAACTTGTTTTCGCTGCTGAGAAAGTGTAATAAGTCTGTTACTCTTAGCTACCAGTAGCCAAATCATCACGGTAAAAGCTTAATAAACTGGATTTCAACAGGACGTATATGATACTATACGTTTAGAATCAAAAGTAAATCTCCAGAGAATAGCACTGTACGGCTAGAAAGATTCATTTCAAAAGTGCATACAAATTTCATTCTACATCTATCTTCATTTTGAATGCAATCTAAATGTGTTATAGCATTCAAAACTGCGATATTTTCTAATGTAGACAAGGCAAGAGTAGAATTGGCTTAACCTATATTGACGATGATTGTACGGCGGTAAATTTTCTGTTCTATCATGAATTAATTACGGTAATTATCGTATACACTTATGAATCATTCCTTCGCTCAGATTACAGCGTCGTTGAAATGGCCGTCATCTTACGCCATCAGGTACTATCCAATATCTTAACATTGATATAGCTAATACATAGTCTACATGGCTATACTCTTACCAGAAGATCCAGGCAAAGCAATTGCAATAGTTTAACTTTCTTTAAGATACTCGATCACGGACGTATCAATTGTATAGAATGAGTGCTACTGCAATAGAAAGGCACAGCACAAGTATATCTTGGATAAACGGTCGATTTGATCTGCACTTTTATTCAAACGTTTTACTTTAGAACTCAAAATTCGTATACGTTTTTACTGTATAATAACGACAACTGAAGAGGCAATGGATGCCTAGATTTTGTAGAGCTAGGATACTCTTGATCACGCTGCTATTCTACTTTACAGCGCAGTATAGGAGTCATGATGGCATTCTATAATATACAGTAATGTTAAGTGGAGGACAGTGATGACGTAGGATCGTGACTTTGTGACTTCCTTCTATGGAGTTCCTTAGGAAGGACACACCTTCTGATTGAAAGTTCAGCTTAGCAACCACTGCTAATTAAGTGCTAAACCCTACTGCAAACGTTCAGTTAATGATATGCAAGCTCCCATAAACGTTTATATAGGCGTTGAACAACTTGTAGCAATGTCTATTAGTCGAGATTGATATAAGCTCTTGTTTCTAATACTCGATGGGGTACGATATAGTATCGATTTCAGAAACGTTTGTCTGGGAAACCTTTGCAGTATACAGTAGTATAAACGTTTGAGATTTACCTATTTAGTCCATATTTACATTAGCTCTTGCTTCTAATACTCGCTCGGGTACGATGTAGTATAGGTTTCATCAACGTTTGTGATTTACCTATTTATACTACGTGCATAATTTCAACGTTACACAGCCTTACTGCGTAGGCTAGCGTGCAGAATACGTTCTATTTTCCGCAAGAGAAAGGCACGTAAGTGGCCGTTGAGTGCAAAATAAAGTTGGGAAATGATTATTTCGTTGTCATTTTACAAGGCGCAACCACTGCAACTGTATATAACACTGCGCGAAATAAATCAAAATACAGTAGCCACTAGCAACTCATTTGGACATCAACGTTTGTGATTTACCTATTTATGCTACGTGCATAATTTCAACGTGACACCGTCTAACTACGTAGGCTATCGTACAGAATATGCTCTATTTTCCGCAAGGGAAAGGCACGTAAGTGGTCGTTCAGAGCAAAATAATGTTGGCAGTTGATTATTTTGTAGTCATTCTACAAGGCGCAACCACTACAACCGTATATAACACTGCACGAAATAAATCAAAAATACAGTAGCAACTAGCAACTCATTTGGACAGCAATCATGGACAACATAATGTATCGTTTCTGACATTGGCTTCTGATGAGATAACCAGTAAAATTGTCGGCCCCTCACTTTGAGTATGGTTGCTAGACTAGCCGATTACTGTCACAAATTCTGTAAGTGCCCATATATATGGAGTTGGCACTACCGATGCCTTCTTTTGAATACAGAAACCCTTTACCTCATAAGGCCGAGCACTAACACAGTCCATTGGCCTGACAGTATGCATGGTATAATTACTATAGTACATCGTCAGGGACTACTCCAATGACAGTAGTTCATGTTTACATCGTATTTTCCTCAACGTGAAAATACAAAATTGAGCTGGTAGTGTGATGTTTCGGAAGATTGAGAGTTCGCCATTAGTCGCAATAAAGTACAATAGAATAGCTAACGGAAGAGTAACCTGAATTAAGTAAGTGTAAGAGAATAATCGTGTAAGATTATCGTGCGAGTAACGACGTGACTAGTCGAATAACTACAGTAGTATAGAATAGATAAAGCGTGCAAGCTTACCATGTAACTACCAGAACTAACGAACAAGATAGGCGAAAGAAGATAGCTATTATAATGTTAGGAGCACAGCTGGAGGAAATTATTTATAGGCGCGAATGATTCATGAAAATAGGTTACTTCTATGCTAAGCTAGTGCTAACAAAAGCAATCGTAACTGTACTATTACTGCCTAACACTGTACTGTATATAGTATTACATCGTCCAATTTAACAAATATAGCTTAGGATAGAATAATTAAATTGAATAAAAAGGCTTTGATGCCGTTGTAGAACTGCTTTCAAGAGCAACTTTGCCACATAGTCAAATAGAGATCGCAATATATTACTTAAATTTAGAAAAAAGGATTCATTTACTTTAGTCAATCGGTACATTAATACTGAGACTATAACGAATAGAAATGTTTGGAACGTTAGAAGGGCAACATGTTTCTCAATTTCGAACTGTCCTACAGTACAAAGTGTACAGTGTACAGTGTACAGTGCATAAGAGTCTACAGTACTGTGCTGTACGAGTGTTCGCTACAGCATGGTGTCGCAATGCAGTATATTAGCGCGTGCGCATACCCTCAACAGTTCTTTTACGTAAAAACGATCTGTCAGGGAATCCGCTGGAGGAAGTAGTGCAGGTAATGGCGGATTGCTAACTTTATCCTTGGTATATTAATGCCATCGTATGCTCATCTGCTTAAAAAATAGCTTCTGCTTTGAGAGTAGTCTTGTTATTAACAGATTATACTTTTTTTTTTCCTGCTTCAGTCTCGCTATATTGCTGCTTCGGATACTTTGATCATGGTAAGTAGGAGTGCGCGTGCACTAAGATAATGGAGCAAAAGGAGATAGCAAGTAGATCCTATATCGCTCCCAAAGTAGACACTACTATCACAATGGACTTGAATGTTACTTTCCCAGAGCTAAATCACTGATAGTTCTCATTAACATTAGATCGTTAGGCCACTCAACCGTAGCAAAGATACTAAATTGATAAAAATTTATACCTAAAATTGACATTTCTTCTATTTTCAAACTAGCCTAAGGAAATTAAAGAAATTAAAGACTTTCTGTTAACCGCTCGTCGTAAAGACGCAAGAGGTATTATATGTTGATTAGAGTAATTGCATAATTTTCAACGGTAGATTATCATCATCTTTAAATGTTTTTCGACATCTCAAGATAGATGCTATAAACTTAGTACACTGTACGTAGTTTACTTCACTTAGTATTTATGTTGTTCATTCTCAAAAGTGAAGTCATGGTAATGATTACCTACCGTACACTACATAACGTTTGGGCAATATCATAGAATTAGCGCTAAACATTCCCTATTGGGGAATAGTGAAACAGTATTGTATGTAGTAATCGCTATGCTTCTTGTTCTCGTTTTTAAAATCGGTTGTTGATGGCAACACTAATTTCAGTATGATAGCATGAACGACTCAAAGGAAACGTAAAACTATTCTGTAAAGTCGATAGGATTTGCAGTGACAGAGTTCGCAAGCTACTATATTTGTAATCCGCGAAATTACCATGAACTCGCATCACAATTTATAGAATCACCGTTAAGATCTACTTAATAGTGATGGATGACAATTTTGTAATCTCAAACGAATGCGACGAGTTAGAGACATTCGCGTTCACCTAATACTGTAACACTAAGTAATAAATAATTATACTTAATACACTTATATAATGCTAGCTGATAGTACTCACTTATTTAACATTGCTAATAAATTCATTGGACTATGTAATGAACTTTAACAATGCCCTTGCATATATCCTCATTTATCTTTTAAGTTAGAGAAGTTAATGTAATTTTGAAGCTTATAAATCATAGCGTGCACCATATACTAATTCCTTCCGGGCTATAATTGTCTTCTAGCTGTTAAAATTATCAAATTGAAAGACAAAACAAAGTTTAAAGTTCGATGCCAGAGATACTTGTATACTCTAGTTGTTGATGATGGAGAAAAAGCTGATAAATTGAGGCAATCTCTACCTCCAGGTAATATTACAGTATGCGCATACAATATAGGATATCGGAATTTAAGGTTTACCTATTTTACTTAAAGCCTGTACCACTAGATTCTATCCGTTGTTAAGATGCGCGTGTCACTGAATTATTATAAAGATGGTGACATTTTCTAATCACTACCTATAGTTAAAGGATTTGTAGTTGATAGCGAAACTTTGGAATTACAATTAATAGATAGAATCTTACTTACTTTCTTTAATAGTTCGTGTTCAATTGAAAATATAGTTATAATACGTTATACAATATACACTAGAAGAGGATAGTTTGCATAGTTTTGTACTCTTCTAAATCATTATAATTAGACGAAATATATATATAGATATACTTCAGGATAATCTTAGAAAATTGTAACTTTTATACTGTAAACCAACCAGCAAAAGTAGACCGATTTAGATCGTATCGATGTTTTTACAAACCTGAGAGCGTAATTTGCTGATCTAGGACTGTTCATAAATCGGATTACTTTGAAGTTGTTATACTCTCTATTAATGGGTCATTTCAATATTGTTTTTGCAGGTCTAACCGTCACAGATATCAAGAAGAAGAAGTAGTACTTTACTTCTCGTATGATCAATATGTAACAAGCTGTATAATAAAGACTGGGTTCTTGATGATGATTGTGTACTCGTTCCTTGTGCCTTTGAAACCAATTTATGAAAATATTCGACTGCATGTAGATAACTATTCATCAACTGAAGATTAATGCTCGACGTAGTGTAGAACTTTCCTATTACCAAGTGGTACATCTTGTAAATTTGATATGAACGTGTGTCAGTGATATGCTACAGAGTTAAGAACGGTATATGGCAATCTAGCGAAATATCCTCACAGAAATTGAATGCAGACTGCAATGGGGATATTAATTTTACAGTAGTTGGCATCACCAATTAAATTGTAGCAATGTAGATAGCAAATTTTATTTGTAAAGCTATTGGTTCCGCAGTGGTGCAATATAGAAAATTTTACATGATACGTAATAGTCTACTTGCCCCTACAACGCGGGCGACTCTCAATGTTACTATCTAGAGATGATTAAATTATACGTAATTATTTTTCGAGCTAAATTTTAAAAATTGGTAGAGCCGTTACACTGAGAAAATAAGCTCTGTTACGCTCACATCGAGGCAAGCGCTACAGCGTGTTTATCTAATACACGTATTCTATAATGATACATAAAGATTTAGAGTTTACTAGCAAGTTTTCGCATCATTCGTTCCGCCTCAAATATATTTCGGCGGGATACCATACAAGTTCCTCCATCAACGATAAGTACTGTTCCTGTAATGTATGACGAAACCTCGGAACCCAAGTAAACCGCCGAATCTCCGATGTCTATACGTGAACCCATCCTACCAAGAGGAATATCTTCTTTTACATGCCGAGCTAGTTCCTCTTTGTCTCCGCCTAATTTATGTATTACAGAGAATAAATCGGGGAATACAATACACAAAGTTAGTTTTAAATTATCATAGGCCTAGCGGTAAAACTGAGAAAAGTACAATCAAGTTTAACAAATATCACATATTTTCAACACATTTTAGTTAAGAATCATACGCGTACCTAATCTTCTCATTCCTTCGGTATCAGCTATTGGGCCAGGAGCAATACAGTTGACACGGACGCCATCACGACCCCATTCCCTAGCCAAGTGTTTTGTCATAGCATCTAGTTGCAGACATTGTATCATTACGAATCAGAATTTACACCATAACTTTAAACAAATAAATTTACATATCCGATCTAACTTAATTTAATATCAGTTAATAATAAAAACGATGGGTTCGATAATTATATATACGCGTAAGTAAAAATTGGAAATTAATAATATAGAACGTGTGATTATATTTGCATACCAATTGCAGCCTTTGCAGCACCAACATGTACCTAGTATTTCGTGGAAAAAATATTAAACTTTCAAAAAGCGTTTTATAGGGGAATTATTAAGCAATATCTTGTTGGATTCTTTACAGCTATACAATTCGCAAAATACTTTGCAATTAAATACGTAAGGCTTAAAATGCAACCTGAAGTACGTCGCCATTATAGTGTAGAGTAGCTGATATGTTGATTATATTTCCTCCATGTTTCTGTAGTGGTCATAAGCATTATTATATTTAGTAAGGTATACTTAAGGGCTATAAAACATGGTAAAGGTTGAAAATTACTTACAGAGAAATACTTTTCGTAAACAGCTTTGCTCAAATTAAATGTTCCTAGCGTATCAATTTCGATGACTAAAGGGTTCAAGATAGAAACGTATCATCATTAGAGTAAAATAATTCCATATCCATAACTTTATAAGTATTACGGCTAATTTACGATACGCGTACTTTGACAATAATCTGGCATAGTACTTTAACAGAAGTGAATAATAAGTATACAACTAGGTCAATATCCACAATTGAGTCACCTGTTCTGAATGCATTATAAGATAATCTACTAGCAGGGCACAAGAAATTGCCCGCAGCTCCATTAATTAAAATATCGATTCGATTGTAGTGGCTCAATGCTTGATCAACCGCATCTTGAATTTCTTGAGGCTGTATCAATCATAAACATGTACTGTTAATAAATCTACATATGCTTGTTAGTTGCGATGTATGTTGCAGATGGTAAGCATTCAACTATTGTCTATAGACAGACCGATAGTACCGTATCATTACTTATAAGATAACATCTGAGTTCGAAAATTAATAGAGACTGCTGAATTCACCTTTCGTACATCCATTCGGACAGGTAAACATCTACGGCCTGTTGCCTTCTCCAGCCTTTCCGCAGCCTGTCAGTAGTTTGTTAACATGAGTATAGATGTTAATAACTTGAACGGTATTTATTTAAGGACTATAGTTAAAAACTAACTATGATCCACCTGATAAAGGTTTACTAAATTTAATAAAATCAAATCTTAATTCGAATACTGAAACTCAAGTAATGTAATATGTACAAATTACTATAAAAAATAACAGTTCACAATGAGTGTCGTTGCTTATGGATACAATCTATAGCCGTAACTACACTGTACCTCTTTTACGCGATTAAAATTGCGGCTAGCTATCACGGTATCGCATCCATGCCTGTTTTGCAATGAATAAGATATAACAAAGATTCCATTATTATTAGCAAGGTTTGCAATCTGTACTCTATTTCCACTGACATAGTTATATAAAGCAAGACTTTAGTCTAAAGGTGCATTGCTTTGTCAGTAGTGTTCATAGATAGTAAAATCATTCATTCAATATTATTTGGATACAGTAATTTCCATTCTATCATCGTACGTATAACGGCCTATACGCGTAGTTTACAGCGTTTGTATACAGGTTACATTTATCGAGTAGATGTAACAAAAAGTATTATTTCGAGAAACTTTTATATCGTACTTAATACTAATTCCCTTACGATTATATATAATTATTAATATTATAGCTTAGTCAATTCCACCCAGTTAACATTTACATGATCGACTGATTACAACAATCACCAACGTACTACTGCAGGTAACTTGTAAATACAAATATAATTAATGTATAAACGTTCCACATATCACATAAAAATACGCGTAAATACAAATAAAATTATTATAATGAACTGCTTTAGCTCTATACAGTAGGTACAGCAGCTCTGACTGCTCTCCTTTTCTAGGCAGTAGATTCAGTTAGCCAACGTATTCTAGCAATCTGTACGTGATTAGAGCAGTTTACGTTTTTATAAATACGAAAATTCCATAATCCATACTATATCAAGTGTTTATGCGAGTACTGTACATAACTGTACTCCAGTAAGAGATAATCGCACAGTCATATGTATTACAAACTGTAACTTTAGCAAATTTGATTTCGAGAATGAGCTACAAAATTTAGCCAGTTTGTTGATGCCTAATGATTTCTGCCGATCGTTTGCAATCCAAGAAAATCGCGTCCAACAACGCTACCTTAATTAGTATCCAATATCGACACTGATACTGAAATGTAAGCCTACGTATGTTTACAGGTCACCAAATCTGACACAGATGTTTTGAACTGTTTTCTAGTCTTTCATTGTTACGTTGAAATCCGCATTTCGATCACATCTACTAATATAGCACGCTAAGCTCCACGTAAATAGATGAAATATAATTTTACATGTTTAATCACTGCCAATGACTATGACGACTACTACTCGTGTTCGTCTAACAAGGTCGTATGGTGGCAGTGTTGCAAGGTTTGAGCCTGTAATATTTGTCTATCCGGGTGGTGTACCCATCGGCAAATTTACGCTACAAGTTACCTCATGTATATTTCGGTAATTCTAAAGCAAATTCCTGAACCACCACCACTAATAAAGGCTACTTTATTAGCCAAAATGTCAGATTTAAAATAGTACTTGTAGTTCTTTAAACATTGATCTGTTTCGTGAGCCATGCTGCAGCTTTGGATGCCCCTTTACCTTTCACCTCTAGGCAGAAAGTTCAGTTACAGTGTTGTGTCTACTCTCTTAAAATGAACTCACCTTACAGTGTTCAGTATACGCTTCTCAGTGCAGTACGGAAAATACCATACTGGACAATTCAGACAGGTCGGCACGCCTTCTGTAAACTGTCAGTACAGTCTACATGATCGTATGTGATAGTGATGCTATACGATATCATGACCTGAAATTTTTAGCCTACAGTTCCCTATTGATCTTGCTACGATTTAAGCGAGAATAATCGAGCTCGACCAAATTTATTCTCAAGATGTCAGCATTAAAGGCATTCGTTCTTGTAATTTGTTGCCACGAGTTACTATATCGAGTATAATATTATAATGAATACTGCAGTCAGTGTTAACCCTAACTGTAGTACAGCGATACAGTGTTATACTGTTAAGAAACGAGAAAAACGGAAAGTGATGATGCTAAATATAGTATGCGGAGCTTACTTCGCTTGCTACTTTAACTGTTTCGTAATCTGCAACAGGGCAACATCGGTTTACAATCAATATCTAGCTCGAAAGTTGGTTTGCACTTTAATACCGTATAGTAGATTGAACAGAAAAAAAAGATAGGCCTTTGCATTACTTTGCACAGAACTTTCTCGTTGTCGCTCTCTTTGGTTTACTAAAACCAATAACAGATTAGCTACCCTGCGCCTTCACTTGCACCCTTATGAAGACTTATTACTGTACAGTACTGACAAAGTGTCAGTAAACAGTTATGCACTCTAGGTCTTTTTCTTCCCTCTACGCCTGGCGATAGCTAGGTAGCAAATTAACAGTCACAGAACGGAACTGTTTTACAAGAAAGATGACATCATCGACATAAGAAAACGTTTCATTATGACTCGACGGAGAGCACGCCAATTTAATTTCTGCAATCCAAGACAGCGATCACTCGAAATCGTTTTCTTGTCTCGATGAGACAAGAGCATTTAAGTGTGCGCGTATCATCGATTACATCACTATGCTAGAAGACATCTATGAAGAGGAAGTTCTTCCTGTACAGTACAGTGACAGTCGTGCAGCCATCATTATGGTTGTACGACTGTGTGAACATGTCTAATGTATATATATATATAGGTAACGGCCAATGTTCGAATGGTTGCACGACTGTATGTACATGTATAATATATATATCTATATATCATATATACATTAAATCATTCAAAGTTGGAACTACTGAGAACTCCATGCTCAATCCTTTTACGTGGGTTCAGAAAGAGACATGATGATAATGATATAATGTATATATCTATATATCATATATATATAAATTAAATCGTTTAAAGTTGAACTACTGAGAACTCCATGCTCAATCCCTTTAAACATGGGTTCAGAAAGAGACGTGATGATGATGATATAATGTATATGTTACATATACATTAAATCGTTCAAAGTTGAACTACTGAGAACTCCATGCTCAATCCTTTTGACATGGGTTCAGAAAGAGACATGATGATAATGATATAATGTACTGTATATATCTATATATCATATACATATACATTAAATCGTTCAAAATTGAACTACTGAGAACTCCATGCTCAATCCTTTTGACATGGGTTCAGAAAGAGACATGATGATGATGATGATATAATGTATATATCGCATATACATTAAATCGTTCAAAGTTGAACTACTGAGAACTCCATGCTCAATCCTTTTGACATGGGTTCAGAAAGAGACATGATGATAATGATATAATGTACTGTATATATCTATATATCATATACATATACATTAAATCGTTCAAAATTGAACTACTGAGAACTCCATGCTCAATCCTTTTCACATGGGTTCAGAAAGAGACATGATGATGATGATGATATAATGTATATATCGCATATATATACATTAAATCGTTCAAAGTTGAACTAATGAGAACTCCATGCTCAATCCTTTTTACATGGGTTCAGAAAGAGACGAGCATCATCATATGAAAAGTTGGAGTAAAGGATTACAGTACTTTAAGTACAGTACAGTACTGTACAGTTAACACAGTACTATACTGTACACTGTAGTGGAATGTACTGTAGTGAGCACTGAACAACACCGTACCTGCGCAGTTCGCAGATCGATCCTCTAGAGTACAGGATACCGTTCTAAGTCGGCGTTGTCATGTTTACCAAATGGTCAAAAGCATTTTATCCGCATCGGCAAGTGTTGCTAATAACGACGTCGGGGTAGCCTGCGATACAAATACTGGATTAGGGCGAGTATAGGCAATAATGCTGGAATAAAGACACTAATCTGAAACTGGTATGAATCAAACATTTCTATGATCATCACTGAATACACTAACCTATTCAAATCCATTGGAGGCAACATATCACGTTGAACGAGGCTTGATATCCTTTTAGATAGCATAAAAATTATTTAACACGCCGTCATTCCCCTTTTCAATATTGGAATTGGATCTCAAATTAAAGTTTACGATACTCCAAAGCTTAATCTTGTGTATTTAGAAGACATCATCCTTGGTGTCTATCGGGTTAGCTATTTTATGTTCAGGTATGTACTGTATATCTATTTTACAACCATTGTTGAAGCAATTTTAGAATATCGATTTCTCTGTTATCTAGAACATCAACATAAACGATTCAATTTTAAATTATTCCTGCATGCTGTTCTATCTCTAGTTAGTAAGGGATAGTGAAATAATTGAAGACTACGCGATATCGGCTTTAGTTCGCCTGTTTTTCTTAGCAGCAATGTAGTGTTCATCAACGCAAATTTAAACTAACAAACTCAGTTACAATAGTGATATACAGTACGGTATTACTTACATCAGTATAAAATAGTCCCAAATTCCATACCCATTTCGATACTATAGCCACCTAAGTCGAATAAAAAACCACCTAAAAGAGATGTAGATATTCATTCGTAATCTTATTAAACTCAAGGTGCTAGTAATTTAATACTTTCTCGACCTTAGAATGGACTTATTTTGCGCTACTCAAACGTTTTATATTTTATAGTTACAAGGCATTATCAATACCATAAAAAGATCTGACAAAATCAAGGTGAACGATGGCTGTATACTTTGACAAGAAGCTTAATGCGCCTTCTGAAGGATTTAATACCAAGATAGCTTGGCACACAGTTAGTCAATTACTTGCTGTTGCCGTTAAGGGGCGAGATGAAGTCTCTGGAGAAGTTAATATTTACAGTAATGAGGTAAGATCACCGAAAAATAATGACTAATGTACCAGTTAGCCTTGTGAACATGGCTATGCACCATAAAATCATTGGCAACAGGGACAATGACCACATTTTGATAAGCTACACTATTTTACCTGCATGACTGAATATGTAGTTTAAAAATAGAATTAAAAACGAAACATTTAAAATTCAATACCGCAAGCAAGCTAATTCTGATTAAATTGCCACAATTTCTCTGTACTTTTCTTTACATATCAACAAGATTACATCTATTTTCTATGTTATAATTTTACTGTAATATTTCCAGTTTAAAATCTTTTAAAAATAACGTACGAAGAAATTATCGCCACATCCAAAGTATGCAATCATATGCGTACTTTATGTATCCAAAGTTGAATCCAGGATAAAATATCATTTTCAATCATAATAAATTATATTCAATTCAGTATCAGGATGAACTGTCATTTTACTTTATATTACTAACATTTTCGCTGGTAGAAACTTAATTGTGGCAATGCATATTTGATTTGAGTGCAATTTTAAGATAAAAATGATTAACCTAGGATTTTAGGTAGTTAATTGCGAAAACTTAAAGGTTCCTAGACGTACAGTATTAAATTTAAGTGATAATAATCTTCAAGTATTTTCTATGATGTTGCACGTTTTATTTCTATTAGTAATTTTACATACTGTTAATTTTCAAAAAATTGTTAAATGTGTCTTGAAAAACAAATTAATTTAGTTATCTCGGAATAAATACAAGCAATAATAGCAAATTTTATACCTCCAAACTCTTAACTGTAGTAACTGTGAATATAGAATAACTTTCTGCTTAAAAATATGTCGCCCATATAAAACTTTCCGTTAAATACCAGGTTAATTAATTCTCTAGCATGATGATAAAATAAGACCTTCCTGCATTAGTAACATTGTCCTTGCTTTCTTTCATGAAAGGGTGAACTGATGGAAGATATAACTATCCAGAAGCAATCATCGGTTAGCTACATTGAGTGGCATCCTCATCGTGATGTTCTGGCTGTTGGGTGGGACAATGGTGAAATAATTATATGGTTAAAGCAAGACAATAGTCAAATCATTTTAAATCAGTCTCATAAGACATGTGTTAGTGTTATAAGTTGGAATGGGCATGGAAACTCATTAGTCAGTGGTGATGAGGTTTGTTAAGATTCGACCGTTAGTTGCATTCTTCATAAAGTCTAAATTATCTGAATGATTTTCATTCTACCACACTTAGCAGCAAAAATTCTAAACCATTTGACTTATATTTTAACATTCAGAACGGCCATTTTGTAATATGGAAGGCAGATATGAAGGGCTGTGTACAAAAAATTCCTGTTCAACAGTATGATATTTCCCCTATGCAGTCCATAACGAACTGTGTATTCAAATCGACGAAAGGTCTTTCAGAGTATGTCTCCAGTAAAGCTATGCATTAATGCTCATGAATATTCTACAGCAATTACCAAGTTTTAGTGACAGAATTTTTGCTAGTATATTTTGAGAATAGACTTATAATCGCATAGTTCTTTCCGTACATAGCCACTTAAAGTGCTGTTATAACATGATTAAACTCTATAATTCGTAGATATTACTATTAGGGTATAGAGTAGAACCTCTGAATGTGTAACTTACAGCAGTACGCAAAAGCAAACGAGTTGGGGCATTAGCCTCGTCAATCTGATCAATCATATTATTGTCTACTGTAAGTAATAATTAATAAATTAATTATTATCTACTGGTCTAATTGCATTATAATATCAAGAAAAAAATAATCTAACTTACGTATACGTTCTATACACCATTATGCAAGCTTAAAAATGAAATAGCGTTTTTCGAAAATATAAACTCTTGCAGTTATTGAAAGAATTAGTATAGCAATTAGGAGCCTAAATATGTGACTAAAGCATCCACAATTAGATTGATAAAAGTTCGTTAATTCCGGAAAAGTAGGTTCTATTCAACGTTATTGCAAAAAGCATATGCGATAAAAACAATATGTCTATTCTTTTAACTTAGCAATTTAAGTGATTTGGCGAGAGCAGCGGTCAGTGGCGACGAAAACGCCTTAGACCGATTTAATTGGGGCAGTAGCAGCGACAAAAAAGGAGAATCTATCGTAGCTTCTATAGAAGCTCAAGCTTATTCTTGCTACTTTGGCGGTTCTGAAGGTATTGAGTGTAAATCGTCGCAGTTATCAATTTATAGGATAATACAATATACAACTGTGTAGTTAACTAAAATTGTGAGCTGTCACCTCAATCTATAAATTGAATAAGCAAAGTTGATCGTACAATCTATTTAAACATATTTATTTTTGAGTAACAATCTCTATGTCATTACAGGCGCTGTTTGGTATTTCGATGGAAAAAATAATTTTTCTCCCTCATTTTCTGTTGAGGGACCTATCTTATTCCTTTCTTTCTTCCCGAAGAAAGGAATCATAGTTGCCATTACCAAAAATTTAATGCTATCACAATTTGGTGTTTCCGCTGATGGAGTAGCAAATGAAATCTCTCAGGTTTAATACATATTACGAAATCATACTGATATAATTGTAATCAAGTCATATTTAATTTCTGATAAACTATAAAATACATTGCAACTTTTACAAATACTCATTAACAACGGAATTAAAGGTGAAGCTAACGAAAGGCAATTCACCTCATTGTGACGTTATATGGACCATAGATGGAATTTTAGCAACCACATCTGGCGAAAATCTTGTTAGGTATTGATTAGAAGTCCTAACTGTGAATTTTTGTAATGATTGCTAAGTTCTGTAAGAACATCTATCATATTGCTTTATAATTCCTTGACTAATAATTCCGTAACTTACGCAAATAATATAGAATGTGGGATTTGAATACGGAAAAAAATTACAAATTACGATTAGAAGGCCACGCATTTACTTCCAGCGAACACGTTAGCTGTATTGCTTACGATCTCAAAAAAGGTACTTGTCTCTTCTGTTTGAATATGCAGCAATCCTACTGTTATATATATAATGATCAAAACTAGACCAAATTATATACTGCGAATACAAATTTATTCATGAAAATCATACTACGTAAGGAATTTTGGCTGCTGGTACGAATAATGGCCGTGTTGTTACTTGGAAAAGGACGGCACCAATTTCATCACAAGATGACAACGAGAATTGCTGGGAGATGCAAACACCTACTTCTTTAGAAACAGGCGATTTACTACAAATTGGGGTTAGTATCAGATTGTACGACTGAAATTAACTGATTTAAATTATTTTAATGCCGTGATAATAATATTAGAAGAAAATTGCGTAATGCTTTTATGTATACGTGTCATGCAGTGGGATGCTTCTGGAACATTAATTGCTACCAGAACCGGAATCGCTGCTTATATATTAAGTGAACAGATTATGAGCCACCACTTCGGTGACGATGTTGCTGCAATTCAAGTGTCTCCAAGTCAATTATCTATTTATTGCTATGGGACACAAATGCTACAGGAATTAAAGACTGATATTCACATAAAGGGCATTTTTGCTTGTAAAGTACGTATATTCGCTTAACTAAGGATTATAACAGTATCTTATTTCCTTGGGTAAGACATCATATAGTAATAAAATATTCTGCATAGGATAAAGTGGCAGTCTGGAACGGTTCGCAGCTAGTAATATACGAAGTTTCTAGGGATAAGCAATTTGCCAGAGCGGCAGGTTAATCATTTTACTATAGACAATTCACTAATACTGAACACTAACTTTCGAAATAACAATAAGACTAAAGTTTTACTTTCTTCCGACTGTTTAGGATCTTTCTCTACCAATTCCTTTATTATTGCACTACATGCTGATAGCGTTTATATTGGTGAAGGCAATAATATTCAAGTCAGGAATTTTCAGGTGCTAATCAAGTTCGATTTGGCAGAACGATGAATTGATATCGTGCTACAGTACCCTAATATTAAATCGTTCTACGAAACATAAGATTCATTTTTTCACACTTTGTATATAGGGAATTGTCAAGCAATTGCTAACTTTTGCTGAGACTGAAGGCGATCCAGTTGTGATCGATATTTGTGGAAACTATTTATGTGCTGCAAGTAGTGCAGGATATATTAAAGTCTTTGATTTATCAAGGAGGTAATATACAAACAGCGACTTTTATTTCATTTACTGTAAAACTAGTTTTGCTGCTGCTTATGATGCGATTTTATGTTATATAGAGAGGCTAGGCAACATTGTAACCCCAAATTTGTCGCAGAATCTATACCCAAGTTCAGTCAGATTACCTCAATTCGTTGCAATTGCAGTGGAAGCAAAGTTAGCTTTATAACTCGTCAAGTAAGAAAATTTACAATATGTGATCTTCTATAATTGTATAAGTATGAATAATGTATGTAAAATGAAATTCAATATTTGCCTTGTCAGTAATTAAAGAAGCAAACAGTGCAGCTACATAGATGTCTAAATTACTTATTTGCGTAGCATGAATATACATGGAATTAATGCGCGTAATTCTGTTATAAATGACATTTCTGAGCAATTACATAAAATCCTACTGGTTTTATGGCATTGATTTCACGATATAAAGTGTCACGAAATGTCTTATCGAATATCGATTTTATGATCTGATTCTATATCTTAACTAAAGTATATCATTGTCTATTATTAGACGAATGGAGACCCATCGCCAGTCCTTTATGTTTGGGAAACTGAAGTAGACAGTATACAGGGCTTTGACTTTTGCAAATGGGAAAGTACTGATCATCGTAGTAAAAATCGTAAGAATAATGCCAATAAAGAACCTGAGATTCAACGCTGTATACCTGTCAATCATTATTGGGATTCTAAAGAAGTGAAATTATTAGCTTGTGAGTTAATTCCAAGTTATATAAATCATGATCATAATGCGTCATTATATCGAAAGTCTAAAAATGATCAAGCTAGCGATAATAACAAGACTTCTAACAAGGTACACTTTTAAGTCGGTCATTACATTCATTTATTTTATTATTAAGATTTATTTAGAGTACAATTTCATCAGCTGCTTGACTTACTTTTTAATGCATTTACTGCTTTAGCTCAGAATAACAGGTTGAACTAAAATTATTACTATTGGTTACAATTTCTAGACAACTAAGATTGCCACCTTATTTAGCACGCCTGAGAACGGCGTTGTGCTCCAAGAATCGTCAAATGTGGAAACCAGCTTTCAAAGTAAGCTCTATATTAGTTTATAATGTAACCCAGTCAACTACAGCTCCTAAAGAGAACAGTTTAAGACATCAGATAAAATTCTACTTGTTGAAAGAATTAATGCCCTAATACTTCGAACTTGCACTTTATTATAGATTTAAATGTATTACTGCTACTAAAATTTAAAATTATGATTTTCTATCTGTAATGGTATAGATCGATATTTAAATTAGAGGCAAATAAAAATAATACGTAAACTTTAATGCTATGATTTTACTCTAATAATAACAGAAAGTCAAATTCTTGGGCTATACTTATGCTGTTAAAATTAGTTGATGAATTCCTATCTATACTATAATGCATTAAGTTAGAATCGATAGATGGATTTAATATCTTTGTGATTGTCACGATCTAGAAATTTTTAAATGCGATGAGGCTATTTTTTTGAATAACTAACAAAAAATGGCTCTGATCAGATTTAATATAACCTTTAACAGTTAAACTTTAGCTGATGTATTTATTTGTTGTGTAAGGCTTACTGGGAATTGGGTCGCCTTATTATTTCTTTCTAAAGAAGGTATGTAAAACTTTGCGAAGTACAGAAGTTATGGTAGCAAAACTAGCTAAGTTTTTCCTAAACATCACAACTTTATTAAGTTATTATTACAAATTCTACATGATTTCATTATCTAATCTAGCTATCTGAAATTGACGATGTCCACCCATCCAGAAAAAGTGATAGTGAAGACAATGCAAAAACTTTTCCCTATGTCGGAAGAGTAGTAATGAGAGATTTCATAGGTCTTGAAGATAGTGATGAAACCACTATGAAAGCCATGATGAACTTTAGTTTTAACTTAACAACTGGAAATATGGATGAAGCTTTCAAAGCGATCAAGGCCATTAAAAGGTATTTATTTCTGATTATATTTCTACATAGTACAGTCAATGAATCATGGGCCACTTTAATCCTGATTTGAATCGTATTTCTTAGCGAGACTGTTTGGGAAAATCTAGCTCGTATGTGCATAAAAACACGTCGACTGGATGTTGCTTCTGTATGTCTTGGTAATATGGGGCATGCAAGAGGTTCGCGAGCACTACGAGAAGCCAAAAAAGAACCAGAAATTGAATGCCAACTTGCTACATTGGCAATTCAGCTAGGCCAACTGGTAAATTACAAAATACTAAATACTAATTTACATCTGTATAGTCTTACAGTACCGTGGTCGCTATTTTCCCCATTTTGCTGATATCCCTAAAGCAGCGAATATTTTTGTAATAGGATGAAGCTGAAAAGTTATACAAAGAATGCAATAGATTTGATTTACTTAATAACTTCTATCAAGCTAGCGGACAGTGGAAGAAGGTATGATATTCTGCCGATAAACTTTGTTGTTAACAGTTGGCTTAAGATTAAAATTAATTCTTAATCTTTTATGAACACTGTCAATAGGCAATTGATGTGGCTGAAAGGTTCGATCGCATCCATCTAAGAACAACTCATTACAACTTTGCTAAACAATTGGAGGCTATGGGACAAATATCAACAGCTATTAGCGAGTTAGTGTTATGTGTGAATGTCCAGAATATGTTATATGTGTTCCATTTAACTTTTGACCGTATTACTTACAACATATTAGAATATTTGCATATTCGACATACACTGTATAAATATGAATTAGTCTTCCAATTTTATACGTGTTTTTTTCACAATTTCTAAACTAGATATGAAAAAGCAGGGACTCAGCTGTTTGACGTACCTAGATTATTACTAGATGATTTAGAAAGATTAAGAAATTATGTTCTGAAATCACAGGATCCGTACGTGTTATAGTAATATCGTGAGAATGTTTAATGTAATCGTCAGTAATAGCAATGATTTGATAATTTAAAACAGACAACTAAAGAAATGGTGGGCTCAATACATGGAAGGAAAAGGTGAATTGGAAGAGGCAATACGATTTTATGAATCAGCTCATGATTCTTTATCCCTCGTTCGCATTTATTGCTACTCTGGCGACATTGATAAGGTCTTTTTATAGTATAAATTGATAAGTGTGTTCAATTTATTTCACTTACTATAGATTTACGTGTCAATTGGTGTATGATACCCTTCCAAATATTCTTATTTTTATACTGAATTACATAAATCAGGCCGCAGAAATTGCTAATACTACAGGAGATTTGGCTGCCTCATATCATCTTGCGAGACAACACGAAAATGAAGTTAGTCTATAATGACATATTCGTACTTACAGTTACAGCAGCTGGAATTTCTAGTAAAGTTACATCTTAATAACTATTTTTCACATCCATGTCTTATTTAATTAGGGAAAAATACGTGAAGCTATTCATTTCTATACCCGAGCTCAAAGCTATAGCAATGCCATTCGCTTAGCTAAGGCAAAGATGCTAATATTTATTATTTTAGCAATACCATTTATAGCAACAATTAACAAATTCTCCAATATATAAATGCAAATATCAGCTAAACAAATCAATTCCTGTTTGTCTTGATTTTAATCACCGTAGGAAAATGAAATGGAAGGCGATTTAATGAATCTTGCATTACTAAGCTCCAGTCGTGACATGGTAGATGTAGCAACGTAAGTTAAATGAAGATGTTTTACGTGGTTATTAGTTTTGTATGATATACTGAGCTGTATTTCATCTCTTCTTTCTCTTAATATCATCATTTAGTCTTAATATTTTTTCAAATAACAAATTAATTTAATTTTGCTGTTAAATATGCTAAATTATTACAGATTCTACGAATCAAAGCAAGACACCTTAGATAAGGCTATAGTGTTGTATTATAAGGTATTGATAGAATGATAGTATAAAATGTGCAATTTATGCTTGTAATTCATAGAAACAGTCAACTACATTAATGGAAACTAAATGTAAAGAACGAGAAAGCTATGGTTTGGGCTTTAGTGAGTTTAACAATTCTTTAATATAATATTTAGGGAGGAGAAGTTGCAAAAGCCTTGGATCTATGCTTTCAAGCAAAGCAATTTTCCACCTTGGAGACAATTGCTGAAAGTTTAGATGAAAACACTGACCCAGCTATTCTCAATCAGTGCTCAACATATCTCATTGAACATGGTAGAAATGAAAAAGCAATTGATTTACTTGTTTTAGCTAAAAAGGTTGGTTATCACGGTTTCCTAAAATCTAGCTAGATTCAACGCTACTCAGATATGATAGAAGCTTTTCTTTACATTTTCATGAAGTAATGCAGATTCCATAATCCTTTATCCATTGTTTTGATAGTATTATGAGGCTCTAGAATTATGTATGGAACATAATATAATCATTACCGAAGAAGTAGCGGATAAAATGACTATCTCAAAAGGTGAATTAAACAAATAAACAATTTCTAGTAATTAATATCGGTGTCTTATACTCGTATGTAGTGAAGAAGTAAATTCGACTATGAATCACGTAGCAATAGATAGTACTTAATAGGCCGTTAACATTATTTATACACTAGTTCTAAATGGATTTAAGTAAAATTTAATCATTTATGTTTCTATCATATGTGACAGAATCCGCTGATAATGAATATCGAAATCAATTATTGGAAAAAATTGCAGAATGCGCAATGCAACAAGGGTCGTATCATCTTGCGACCAAAAAGTTTACCCAAGCTAGCAATAAAATCAAGGCGATGAAATCACTTCTTAAATCAGGAGACACAGAAAAAATTATTTTCTTTGCTGGCGTATCCAGACAACGAGAAATATATATTATGGCTGCAAATTATCTGCAGTCGCTGGATTGGCGAAAGGATTCGGACGTAATGAAAAATATTATAACCTTTTACACAAAAGGTCGAGCATTGGATTTACTATCCGGATTTTATGTAGCTTGTGCTCAGGTTAGTCTATCTATGATAATCGAAATATGTACTGATAGTCTATGTCGTTAAAATATTTTTGTCAATAGCATGCAGTATTATTAGCAAGTAGTATTTTAACAACTTTTAACGATTCACTTTTGTATAAATGATTTCTCAAATACTAATGATCTTGATTTGTCAGGTGGAGATTGATGAATATCAAAATTATCAAAAAGCTTTTGGAGCTCTTACTGAGGCTTACAAATGTCTCAGTAAAGCAAAAGTTAAAAATCCTCAGCAACAGGAAGATAAATTGGTTTCCTTAAAGCAGCGTGCAACATTAATTAAGAAATTTATACAAGCTAAAAAGTAATTTTTTATTATCATATCGACACCGTTAAAACCAATCTCTTAATCGTACCTATCTTTATTGCAGTATATAACAAATATATATATACGATGATACGATGATAACCACCCAATTGATACTATACTTACTTTCTAATTTATATCATAATTAGGCAAATGGAAAATGAGCCCAATGATGCTGTCAATGCCTGTCAAGCACTTATTGACGAACCGGATATCGATTCTGCCGTTCGCATTGGCGACATTTATGGAACTATAATTTCTCATTATGTTCAGCAAGAAAATTATTCCAAGGTTTGAAAATGTAGTCTAGTTCACGAACTTATACTTTCATCATCACGTCTTAAGAATTGTTGACTAATATAGATTGAATTTCTATTTTCTATTTAGGCTCATGAATCACTAGAAGAGTTACGAAAGAAGATACCATCTATGAACATTCTGTACTACGTTAATATGAAAACTATAGAATCCATTCACAAAGCGTTAGACATTCCTTTGCCTCGCAACTTGAATGTCCAATCACAAAAGACTACTGGGGTTTACGCAGGTAGCGCTGATGAAGACGACGGAGAAGAGGTGGATGAAGAAGTGATTGAAGAAGAAGAAGACTAATTTATTTAAAACACTTTATTTAATCACTCAAGTAGATTTAATTTCAAAGTTTATAATGAAAAAATAGTTGGCAAACGCTGCATAACTCTGTTCTCCATTCTGGCTATGCTGTATTCAATGATTGCACATACTGGTACTTTAGGATAGCAATTTTTACTTTAATCATTTCAAAAATTTTTGTCTTTCCATCAGATTTCACCCTGCAGAAAGTCTTTATGAGAACATGCTATAGTAATGTTTTAACTCTTTTCATAACTACATCAGGATCATATCCTAACAACTGTTGTAATGCTAAAATTATATATCATTCACTCTTATGGTAACTTTAATTTACGATATAGTTCTGATCAATGTACATGATAGATTAATGTTTTTAGTACGTATAAATTATGTTTGTCACTGTTACTTGCGTAAATACTGTACATGTAATTTTTGAATTCATTTTCATTCATACCGCTACTAAGTATAATTCAGATTCAAAAAGATAAATGACATTAATAAAAGTGTAAACATTTAAATAAAATATACCTTATTCTTAGTGCTTTATGGAATAGGTACAAGCTGCTTGATTCATACGGATATCTATCAGCGACACTTTATTGATATTTCCTCGCTTTAGAATTTTAGGATAGACGAACAAAAGCACTGTATACTTGAGTGAGATTATTCACTGTATTATCAGTTAGTAGCAACATAACCTGAAGGTCGTTTTAAAAGGTAAATCTCATCGTATTCTTTTTTGTAAAGAATTCTAGTTGTAGCCGTTTCCAATTTCAGCCAACGTAAAGCGATCATCGTTGCTGATTAGTAATTCTCATCACTTTTGGTTTCTTTGCTATGATATCTAAATGTAGCCATATCAATGTTATTTAAACATAAAATCATGCCATATCGTACATGTATGAAATACCTCCATTTACAGCTTTAACCCTTGCAAATATTAGCAAAATATAGCCCAAATCATATCAATCAATAAGTTTTAGTGCTTTCTACCATCACTAACGGAGTTTACGTTTGAGGTAACAGCAGCACTAAATCTATCCGTCAACAGCAAGCAATGATTGACTATAATTATTAACTTATTTCTAACTCAGCAGTTACGAATGCGTTGTAGATCACAGTTTGATCACACTTCACGTTTTTAATTTCTACTATACAGTATATAGTACTGTTAGGACCACTGGTTACTTCTTTTATGTTGTACTATAACGAAGAACGATTAGTTCGACAATATCGTACAATGCATCCAATGGATAAAATCATAAATCTAATTAGATTACTAATAAAATTAAAGGCTTCAGCTTTTATTTCATCATCAACCCTTTTCAAGACAAAGCTACTGCATTTGATCAAGTGCAAATATCCTATCGCTAATATCCTGAACTCTTGAGAAATGACTCACTTGGACAGCCTATGAGAGAAATGTAATAATCATTTGCTTAGATCAGGATACTTCTATAGGAAGATTAATTATCCTAATCTATCCAGCATCATATGAGTAAAGACAGTCATCATTGATTGTTGTTTCTCGAAGAGTCAGAATCGATTCGCTTCTACAGTGCAATGCATTGAGTGTGTTTCTACATGACACAAAAATGTCATGATTTAAATGACAGTATCATCCACTTTCAGGATTGAAAGTGTCAGATAAACAAACGAGTAAGGAGTTAAGACATTGGCAATTTCAACTTCAATACAAACAATATACTCTGTAGAGGCTATTAATAACTGCAATCATGTTACCATGCTATTTTTATGGAGTAAAATATATAGTAGATCCCGAAGAGAGACTGACTAAGCCATCTTGATCTGTAAAATGAAAGCAGATAAGAAAAAAGAGTTCAATGACTTGAGCATTACTGCCATAATTCATATCGTACAAGAAGATGAATACATAAAATTGCAGCAAGTACAAAAACAGTGTTATGCTGTATATTAAAGCCAGCCTATCTCGTCCAAAAGACATAAAATCAGTTCGTACTACTGATATGACTACGTGCTGTAGTATTTGCAATCCAATCGCAGACAAGCTAGGGCAGACGTTGCCTAAGTAATTCATTATCAATAAAAATAATTGCGTTATTGAGCAGTTGTGATACCGTCAATCTAATGTTGTTGGTTGGGAATCCAATGATTGCATAGGACTATACCCATTCGAAACAATATGATTTACATTTGCTGATGTTACTATGGTAGAAATGACAACAGTGTCGAATATCTAGAATACTATTTGTTAAAGGGAATCGATGAATAAACAACTTCTTTAATCGGTTCACTAAACGCAGTTTGTTACTTTTAACAACGGGAGATAGAGCAATCGATCTTTCTTAAGAAATATCGATTGGACAACTTGTCCACAGTACTAGCACATCAACAACTTTGTTCATCGTCAAGTACAAAATCAGTTAATAGTATCGATATTGTTGCCCGCTGTACATGGCCACAGCTTTGAGGATCTATTATCCTAATGGTAAAGGTAAGTCATCTACTATGATTTATTGGCCTACTGTATGCGATGGATCGACTGTAGCTATTAACAACTCCAGATATAGCATCCATTTTACTAAAGAAAAACTGATTGCACGTCTGCTATTAAATCTGGAAGCATTAAAACATCGTCTATTTTCAAGCATAAAATCAATTGGTACTACCGCTATTCTCATTCGCTACAATATCTGCAATTAAGATGCAAACCAATGCGTTTAGTCAGGGGCTGCCCAACTTATTTCTTCCATTTCCAATGGATCTATCCCACAAGTAACAATTATCCATAATTTACTGTCACTATCTGGGTAAATTACTATGAAAACATCCATGGGTTAGGGTTTAAGTAAGGAAGTTCTGTTGAATATCAGCATATCACTATCGCCATTGCAAAGTAAACGAACTTACCTGTTACGATGATCATTTCCTGATGCAGAGTATAGTAAAAAATGATGACTACTGCAGACTATTCCTAAGTTATAAATCAACATAACTGTTTAATAAGGTAAGCAATGAATGAACTACTCCATTAATATTTCTGACTGAAATTTCTTCCACTATGGCGTTGTCAACTACTCGATGCGTAGTGTAGAACAGTAGTATAGGGCCCAATTAGAATTAGCGTGTGCATTATTTTTGACACGGTGTCCTGTATACGGTATACTTTACTGTATCTTAGCAATAGAGTTTAGTAACGTAAGCGTAGCACTGTTACGTTCTCTATGCCAGAGCTGATTGACCGCGACGGACATAAAATATGGAGAAGTTGGCATCTAAAATTCTGAATAAAGTTGTTCAAGACTGACAGCAGGACCGAAATGGCTGTTCGTCTACTTGTCTGTAATTGAGCTTCTAAGCTAAATATTATTCTTTTCCAAACATTATTAGTCTTTTAATATCAGGAAGATGATTAAATCTATTAGCACAATTCAGGACTCATGTTTGTTACTTTTAGAGTCAGGCAAACATACAAATAAAAGTTATAAATTGAGCAAGTCGCTTAATCAGTTAGACTTACTTGATGCGACAAGTTATGCAATGAGCGAGTAACTGAATTAGTTCTACCTACTCGATACTACGCATTGACCGAGTAACTTAACTTAATCAGTTGTATCCCTTGTGTTTCCACTCTTAGTCGTTAATGTTAGCACGAGAGACCTTGATATACTCCTCCTAGTTAACTTACTAAGAGTCTCTTTTATTTAGGATTTACTGCATTTCAATAGTATAGCCGTAATAACGTATTATACCTACTTGTATTCTCGATGCTACCAAGTTATGAATTGAGCTTTTAACTTAATCAGATATACCTATTCGATGTTACAAGTTAAGAATTGAGCGAGTAGCTTAACTTAATTAGTTATATTTACTTGTATACTCGATTCCACAAATTATGAATTGAGCGAGTAGTATAATCAGTTAAACATATTTGTACACTCGATTCTACAAGTTATGAATTGAGCGAGTAGCTTAATCAGTTATATCTACTAGTATTCTCGATGCTACAAGTTATGAATTGAGCGAGTAGCTTAATCAGTTATATCTACTTGTATTCTCGATGATACAAGTTATGAATTGAGCCAGTAGCTTAAGTTAATCAGTTATACCTATTCGATGCTACAAGTTAAGAATTGAGCCAGTAGCTTAACTTGATTAGTTATATATATTTACTCGTATACTCGATTCCATAAATTATGAATTGAGCGAGTAGCATAAACAGTTAAACCCACTTGTACACTCGATTCTACAAGTTATGAATTGAGCGAGTAGCTTAATCAGTTAAACCCACTTGTACACTCGATTCTATAAGTTATGAATTGAGCGAGTAGCTTAATCAGTTATATCTATTCGTATTCTCGATTCTACAAGTTATGAATTGAGCGTGTTGCTTAATCAAATACCCCTACTCGCATACTTAATACTACAATTTATCAATTGATTGATTATAATTATAAGTATGACGAGGTGAATAAACGCAATTAAGCATTCACGTCCTTTTTAATGGGCGAATAATTTAGTCATTGTGAGTATATTCGACTATATAGTTTATACTTAAAGACAGATTGGTAAGGCAATTTAGAAGTTGTAAACTCTACACCATATTTCACAGTTCCCAAGCAATCATATTCTCAAAATCTCCACTTACAGAAGGTCTAAAACAAAATTGTAAATATTGTTTGAAACGACCTTACTCGCCTTGAATAAGCATACTACTCAGTAGAGTTCAATACTTTTTTAAATTTTTCACTTGGTTTTTATTATACTAGATTGTTAAATTAATAGTAGAAAGCATTGATCACCCATGTAAATTGTAATCATTGACGGAAATTCAAGATATATCATATACAACCATGTCTAAATTCCTCCAAGGATGAATGCAACTTCTGATAGGCGTAGACGTTTTGAAAAGACTAATAGTATAGATGCGCCGTCAAAGTGTTATACCGTATATCCAATTTCAGAAATACTATGGCTAAACGTATTTTGATTGTTATTTAAGCAAACTGACAGAGGAT